CCTCAAACTTTATATGAAATTTATATATATATGTACATATATATTATTTATTTATTTATTAAGATTTATGCTCATAAAGGAAATAAACAACAGTATATGGGATAGTTATTCCGGAGAACTCCGAAAAAAAAATACACCCAAAAGAAAATGAACAGGAAATGTTGCAACTAAAAAATTTTTTCTCTCCTGTAGTTTAAAGGTGCATACGCAACGCACTAATCGGTGGGCGGGACCATCTAACTGTTAGGTCCACCCCTACGTTCAACAGGAACTTCATGCCACAATTTAAGTAAACAACGGACTCGCAACAGTTACGCGTCGTGACCGCTGCTAGTAGACTATACTTTGATGATTTGGTAATAAATGCTTTAATGCTTTAAACCAGCCAAACAAGAACTAGAACTATTTGTATACCAAACGTTACATTAAGCGAAAATCGGATGTTGATGAGCATCAAAGATGAATTTACACCGGATAGTCCGCATTTGTATTGCAGCAGACTACAGTGAGCCTGTAAGAGGTACGTTCGACTCGCGAATCGTTCCTAGTTCCAAGTGCATTGCCCATCTTGACCACTGATAAAAACTTCTTTCAATTTTTTTCAAAAGACTTACGGCACATGCCTAATGAAACAGTCCATCGCCTTAGTAAAGCAAAAAAAGAAAAAACATTTCTCGCTCAACGTCACGCGACAACATGACATCTACAGCGACTACGTGTCCATTCTCCAGCTAACTTGAGATAATCAAAGAAAACGACAAGAACTCCCAGAACTTCCTCGCACAGGCAACTTCAAATTGCAAAATAAGCAACGGGAACTTGGTTGCAAAAACAGATAAAACGAGAAGTAAGCTTTAAACTTCGTTCAGAATTACACTGCAAACAGCCTTTAGTAATTGCCGATTTATAGACGCGAATAATAACTGAAAGCAGAAGGAAAGAAAAGGCCGTTTTCTTCGTTATTACCGTTTGCCGTTTGGCATAACAGACTAGAAGAAAAGAATGTATCTGAAGACAACAAGCTTTCTAAACTGCTACCGAAAGATAAAGATTATATCTGGTATCCCACGAAAACTGAAAGAGTTATGACATTTCGCACTGTCGTCCACAGTCCCTTAAATTCTTTTTACTGCAGGTACTTTTCACAGAGTAAGACCAACAATAAGTGGTGGCCCGCAAAATCCTTGATAAGATGCTCTGATAGGGAAAATAACACTATTTTCACTCTAAAGGTTGTAGCGCAGAAAAAGTATACAACCAGTAAAAGAGTATTTAAAAAAATGCCACACATCATCTACATACAACTTTGCTTGTTTTCGACTTTGCAAAAACAAAAGTGGAACTAAGTGATGATAAACACTTTTGACTGTAACTTTTAAGTGAGCATATGAGCGTCTGCGTCTTTACAGTAAAAATCTTTATGGTTGACACAGTAACATTGACATTTTTGAAATAAGACCCATGAAAGAACATAGAGCGTCCTGACCGAATGTAATCAAACTATACCTTACCGGGTGTCAGCGGCTTCTTAAAACCAGTCAATAAATTCGGACTTCCCGAGTATACCACAAAAATAACAGTAAGCAGCAGCCGCGTGGCAAAAACTGATGGCGGTTACAATCGTCAAATCGTAACAACTCCTTCTTTCCCCTTTTTTTCTTCTGCAATTTTTCCTCCTTAATATATTACTCTCAAAATTTACAGAATGACAAATCTACTGTAACGAACAAATAAACGACGGTATGCAGATTCTAATTAAAATTGCGAGAATTAACGACACATCACACCACAGATGTCAACAGACGCAGTCTAAGTACGTAAAAAGTCCGATTACTGCTGCCACAACATTTCTTGTCAGGAACGAAAGACGTAAACCTACAACAGCAACAGTTATGAAACCAAAAACTTCAGCTTTCTCCAACGCAGAAAAGAACTTAAGTGGGCAAAATAAAAAAAGACTTGTTTTGGAAAATTCTTTTAGCATCAGTTAACATTTAGATACCTTTACTTCATTTCAAATATAACAATTTTTTTTTTTTTTTTTGTATTGAAAAAAAGACAGAAACTCCAGCAAAACATTCCATTCACAGGCAGGTTTCCACTTCACATTTCCCCAACTGACTCGTTAGTCAGCAAAAAATATTAACATCAACAACAGCAGTGAGACAAACAGAAGAAATATCTACTATACATTTATTACTGTTTCAAATACTATTGTTCCACAAAACTTCCTTAAAAAAGGTGAGAAAAACAAAGAATAAATATCTGACAACAGTTGTTTTAAAAAGCACTCTTGTTCATCAATGAAAAAAGAAAAGTTTAACAGCAATGAATAACTTAAAATTTTACCTAACTTCAATACATGGCGACTTTCGACGTAATATTTGTAAGAGTCTGGCAAGACTTTATAATAGAGCGTTGAGAAAAATCATTAATTTCAGTTACAACACGCATTATTTAAGAGCTCTAAAAAACTTCTCTCTTTAATTATAAGCCTGAAATTGCTGCTGATCGTATTCAAATAATTGCCAAACTCGTTGCACATCTTTTAGTAAAAACTAACTTATTTTTATTATAATTGATCCCACTTGTTTCTCATTAAATCTATGTCAACATTACATGCACCTACCTATTTGTGCCCACGTAAAAAGCAATTAACATTTCCAGCCATTCATCAAGTGATCAGATTTGAAGGACAATTGCAACAGCAACGACAGGAGCCGTAACAGCAGTAATTCACAAAACCAGCAAAGATGAAGCCTTTTTAATGAGGTAAACAACTAGCAACCTCTTCTCCATTCTCTTTCCTGTGTTCAAATACTTTTAAAAAACTAAAATCAACGCAAATTACGTTAAAACCGTACCCCTACCAATTTTTTTCCCTCCTTTCAACATTCTGAAGTTTTAAAAGAAAAAAAAGGTGAAAGATCTGTCGATACTAACTAGTACGAATGAAGAATTCTTAAGTTTCTCAGCTCAGAAATTTCAGAACACAATTAAATCGAAACAACTAAAGACAGTAATACGAAGAGTAGTAATAAT